GTGGTTCGAGCCCACCCAGGGACGAGTAGTTTTTCTTCTGAGTGCACTGTAATCCTAACCTGAAAGTCCTAATCCCTCTACTTCTGCTGTGTGCCTTTTTTTGCAATGAAACATGCTTTTATTTGACAGGAAATGGGACATAGTTTCAAGGAGGAATGAAACTGGACTTCGATTTGAAACTGCTTTTTGGCTCTTCTTAAAACTGAATTATTTTAGAGTTGTTAGTCCATTATTAGTGATGTATTACAAAGAATCTGCCAGGCTAAAGAGGGATTAGGAGAGTGAGAAAGATTTAAACAGCAGGATCAGTTTTCTAACCAAGCTGTTGGAAAGCCCACATAGCTTCACCCACCCTGTTGTTCCTGAATCTTCCCCTCCCCCGTTGTCCCTAGTGTTTACCTAACGGCTGTTGAGGCTGTAGTTGGTCTTCTGGGCAATTTTGTGTTGGGGAAAGGAAAAGAAAAGCAACCGTCCCTGGGTGGGCTCGAACCACCATCCTCTCGGTTAACAGCCGAGCGCGCTGGCCGATTGCGCCACAGAGACAGATGACACTGTGTCATCTACGTGTGAAATATGAAAATTGTGTTTGGTGTCAGGAGTCTGTATTGTGTATTTTTGCGGTTGGTATACAAGAGTGCAACATATACATACCATATTGTGCAGCCCTAATGAACGACTTGACACTTGACACTTTACTACCTTGGGTCATGAGCAATACACCCACCGAGTGTGAAGTCTATTGGATGAATGGTTCTTGAGATATGTAAAGGACAGTTGTACACACTGTGATTCCTTCGTTTTTAGTTTGATGATGCTGCTACAGCGCCACCTATTGGACAGATGGCACCAAATTTGTAATGGTCACTCAGATGTCATATTTAAACACGTCCCGCAGATTTAGTTGAATTAGCACAAAGTGTTTAAGAGATAGAAGGTTTTTTGTAATATATGTCACAGCATTCCAGCAAACCTTGAAGGCTAGCTATAGCCAAACTGGAATATAAAATATCTGAAAAAGTAACATTTTGCGGCTTTGTTCAGAGATGTTTTGTACCAAATTTTGTGACAATTGCTCCAAATTTGTACGATTATTGCAACAAAAACCAGATTTGGGCAAAATTCAAAATGGGGGAAAATCAATCTTAATATAAGTGCCTGTTGCTTATATGAATAGATTCATCTTGACCCACAAAATCCAGTTATCTGAGACTTGCAATTCAAAAGTTATGGTCCAAAACAGAAGTTTGTCACCATTGTGTCCACTTCACTTTTTTGGATCCTGCCACTAAGTGCGAAGTAGATCAGATGAATGGTTTTCGAGAAAAAATTGAATAAGACACAGTATCTTTGTCTTGTATCCAAAACAATTACATACCACCGAAAGGTTGGTGGTTCAAGCCCACCCAGGGACGTTTTCATCTTATCTAACCAATTAAAATCATGTAAATAGTAAATAGTAGGCTGACGTCCATAATGAAAGATAAGGCAACAAACAAAGAGCACATTTATAACGGTGTTGCAACGTGAACAGGACTCATCATCAGTGGTGTTATGTCCTATCCAAAAAAGTAAATTTAAAGTTTAAGTGCAATTTCAATTCAGAATGCCATAATTCAAGTTTCAACCATATTATTCAGCTTGATTTCTAGAAGGAAATAGTAAATGTAAGTGGGGTGGGGCTTTAAGATCGAGGCCACACCCCCTCAACACCTGATCACAGTGGTCTCTGTGGCACACTCGGTTATAAGTTTTGGCTATAGGTTTGACCCAGGGACGTTTTAATCATAACTAACCAATTCACATCATGTAAATTATAAAGCTTGTGTCCATAATGAGGGTTAGGCTTCAGAAACAAAGTGCAAACATATAACTGTGAAGGCAGTGTTACAGCGAGAGCAGGATTCATCATCAGTATGGTCTCGTATCAAAAATGATTACGCAAGTCAGTTGAAAGCTTGATTGCAATTGGGGAAAAAAATACACACCACGAGCATCTACATAAATCAGGTTTTTGGTTTTTTCAAAAAATATTCTTATCAACATTTTACAGATGGGTGGGACTTAAAGATAGAGGCCACGCCCCCTCACAGTAGTCTCTGTGGCGCAATCGGTTAGCGCGTTCGGCTGTTAACCGAAAGGTTGGTGGTTCAAGCCCACCCAGGGACGTTTTCTTCATAACTAACTAATTAACATCATGTAAATGACAAAAGTATGTCCATAATGAGGGTTAGGCTTCAAAAACAAAGTGCAAACACATAACTGCTAAGGCATTGTTACAGCGAGAGCGGGATTCATCATCAGTAGTGGTATGGTCTCGTATTGAATTAATTACATAAATCAGCTTTCACTTTTTTCCAGATAACAAGAAAATAATCTCATAAACATTTAATGAATATATTGTAAAACATTTACAAAGAAAAACTATACATAATGAAGGTTTCCAAAGAGGATTCAGGCGTTGAATTTAAATAATTGAGCCAAGGTACAAGATACCCTGTCTGTAAACTCTTTCTTTGCCACTGTACAATAGATTTTAGAGAGATGATAGATGATCGAGCTTACAGCTGTGTTATACTGTCAATAAATCTTTATCTGTTTGTAAAATTATTTAGGGATTGATAACAGGTATTAATAAACAGGAGTAATTAATGCTTAAAATCTCTGCTTACAACTACCCTGTAGTCTGTATTGATCCATTTAGTAACTGCTACTTGCATATGAATACTCAAGGTAAAATGCCATAATTAAAGTTTCAACCATATTATTTAGCCCGATTTCTAGAAGGAAATAGTAAATGTAAGTGGGTGTGGCTTAACGATCTAGGCCACACCCCCTCAACACTAGCCAACAGTGGTCTCTGTGGCGCAATCG